AATTAGTTTCATTTACTTCAAGTTTGATCCCAGATTGATATTAGTTAGAGAAGCATTCGAAGGCAGGGAGTACCGGAACGCTGTTCCGTCAAATTTCGAAACTCCTCAGCACTGCCCAATCACCGGCGCTCGAACCCAAAATCTTCCAATTACAAGACAAGGCCGCGTAACGCCTATCCTAGCTATCACAATCGACTAAGATTCGCAACTGCATGTTACGGGAAAACTAGGGTCATATAATAGAATTATTGGAACTTAAGTAGTGCCATTCGATAACTACCGTATATTAGTCACAAGACTTCATTATGCACTGACGTCCGTTAGCGAACCAGTGGAAAACAAGCTAGGAGCACTGGACAGCCGTCTCGTCACCCTTGTTTGGTACTCTTGAGCAGTACATGCCTACCAACGGGGTTGGAACCCATGACTTCTCGGTTACAAGACAAGCTAGCTCGTAGACCATTCATCATCCACTTAGACCTGATCCAATCCAATGACCTGCCCATGAGTTCCAACTTCTGCCAATTCACAATATAGCGCGACTGGCACTAGCCAATGTCATCGGTGGCGAGTATTCCTCCTCACACCTGACCTGCTGTACCCCACTGGTCACGACTTCCCCCTAGAACCGAGGTAACTACCTACCCGAATTGGGCCAATCACTAGTGACCATCAGATTGATATTCAAGTGTTGGTTTGGAAAGACACATTGGGGGGACGACACATAAGGAAGGCCTACTTACTCCTATTAGGTGACGAACACAGTCCTTGCAATAGGTAAGCTACCTTTTGCCCGCTAAGTTGGTGAAACCCCCTCAAAATCGACAACAATCTGTCTCAGACAACAGTCAAAACCCTTGACAACAACGGTGAATATATAATATTAGTTTTTACACATCTCTGACAAAGAATAAACATTCAGTGATAAGTTTAAAGAGTTTGCAATCAATAAGAGTCAAGCCCTCAGAAAGTGCGGAAAGAACCATGAGTGCGCGATAACTGCATTTTGAAGTTAATTCCATGCTAAAGAAGAAAATTGAAGGTGTATGGCGAAATCACAACGCCTGACTTTCCCAGTTTATAGAACTTACAACCGACTAAGAGAGGGACTCGAATCCCAAACCAATTGCTTGGGTGAAGACTCAGTTAAAATTAATTATATTATCAATGAAATGAAATAAACTGTTCCCTAAATTGCAAATATAATGAATGCTCAGCATAAAATTAACGCATTAAGTTTGGAAATCAGTTTCCAACGCGATTGAGAAAAAGTATTATCGAAACAGGAAGAAAGATATAACATCAACACTTCTCAATGTGGTGTACCACCCTCTTCCCGACCCACTTCCAAATTGCTGAATTAGGCAAACGACATAAACCGTAAAGTGTGTAGGCAGTTATTACTCATTCCACTCTCTACCGATGCCCACATCGTGGAAATTGACTTCTGTAACGACAGAAGGCAAGAGTCAGGCAACAGATCGTTTATTAAGGAAATCAACACATATTTATACAATTTCATGTACATTATTATAGATTTTTGTTAGCAGACAAACACAGTCTTCTGATTGGTTGTTTCTCACTGAAAGTTAATCTTTCATCTCTTTGTGGCTGTTTCTTGAATGTCAGATCGTCTATATGCTATTGTATGCGCCTACGCAAACTCTGCTGTGGTTGGTTGTTGAATCAGTCTTTGTTCTTATTTTTCTCACGACCAATATTGGGGACGTAAACACTGACTTAAATTACTGTCTACCAATTTGGCTAACAGCCAGCTCTCACCAAACTTCTACTTGAAATGCCCAAAAAAAGATAGGGCATTAGTTTTACGTGCTCACAGAGCCTTTCGGGAGAACTGCTTGAGACCCCTTCCACACGCAACCTGCTTCAGTTTGTTTTTTGGAGTTCCAACCGCATTAAGATCTAGCCACCGGCTAAGGACCTGCACAGAGTGTAAGTCGGGATGTACAGTCCTTTGGATCTATCTATCTTTACCAACTTTCCCTATCCAGAGTGTAGAGGCAGTATAGCTGACTCTGCTGGTCGTATAAAAGAAATACCTTAATGCCGTTACACCCACATTCGTCAGCAGTACAACTTCATCCTCAGAACGCTAACGTAGTGTGAAAAACCTAGGCAACACTACTTAAATGACCTTTCTGAACCTGAAGGAGCATTCATTCCTTTTATTTTATCTAATTGGATTATTGCAAAATGCCAGCCCAACCACCACGTCTGGTTATTAGTTATCGATCGGCTTACGGAAACAACTATTTTCGTTTGAACATCAGTCAGTAACTCGTGTAATTTGTCTAGTCCTTTCTTTGGTGCAGGCTAAATTCTATCAGTCAAGTTTGCAATGTGACCACCATGCCACTAGGTAGCTCGCCATCACGGTACATATTGATTTGATTGATAATAGATGGTTGAAGGCGATCGGCTACAGGAAGCTCTACCTGACCTAGGTTTCGTGCTGGTTGGCACTCACCAGTCAGCAAGGCGTATCTGCACCACAAGAGAGATGACTAGACACATCACACTAGTTACTGACTAGTGTCCAACCGAAGGTATCCAGTACAGTCCTACAAGAAGTCAGTCGCGAGCCCGAATAGCTCAATGTTAACGTCTCTGACTGCAGGCAGCACAGCGTGACGCGGGTTTCAATCTCAGAAGGGATATGGGTTCCTTCGAGGTTAATGATAAGCCCTGCTGACTGATGAGTGTCAACTAGCACGAAAACTAGGTCGAAGGCTTCCTGTGGCCGATTGCCTCAGACCATCTAATATACACAAACAACCAAAGACATCAATACCAGATACAGAGGTGGAGATATTGCTTGTTCAATGGTCCGATCAATGCATCATCACCAGCTCAAGTCCCGCTACACTTACACGTTAGCTGGAGCAACTAGATAGCACCATCAGCTTTCAAAAAGTATAACTCTTATGTGACCTTCTGGTTACAAGGCGAGCTTGTAGACATTACTTTTTTTTATTACTTTTCATTATAGCTTGATTCCACACTGTATTTTTGGTACAAGTATGGAATTTTCAGTATGTGATACAGGTAGGCCAAGTTTTGCAGACCGACCAATTGATATCAGGTGTGCGTCGGCAGGGGATCGAACCCCGGACCATGTGCATGTTAGGCGAGTGTCCTAACCGCTGTGCTCCTGGGTTCTACCCCCGGTGGGTGCGTACTGATGAAGAGTCACAAACTAGGCTGACGAAACAGCTGTTCAGTACTCCAGTGCTTGTTTCCAATGGTACTCTAACTAATGTCAGCTCATTATAAAAAACTGTAACCAATCAAACTAAATTCATACAAAAAACCAATACTTAAAAATATCTGTTTAAACAAAAATTTCTATTCCTTGGAGTTTTTAACATGGAACATAGAGCTTCAACCTTGAGCTTTCAAGTTTTCAGTAGAGACGATGTTCCCAGCGGCAAACCTAACCTTTTCACTCTATCTCTACGCTTAGTAAACTAAGCAAGGTTTATGATTGAGTCTGCCTGGAATTGAACCCGGACCACACACTCCTAGAGCTGCAAGCACCCCTCCTTGTATCACACAAACCAAGAGAAGGGAGATAATAATCAGAAATATCAGGCAAAAAGAATAGTAATATCGAAGAACGATTTTAGTTTTATTGGATATTATAAATCACAAGGAATGAATGCATCTACATTGGCCATTCAGAACGATTTTGAGCCATACCATCAACTGTTTCCAGCTTTCATTGGTTTTTTTACCATCCCGAGGACCCCGACTAGTCAGGAAGTTTACACCTCCCGAAGTGGCCGGTTTAAACTAAGTGTTGTGGATTTCGTTGACTGAAGAAGCCATTTGTTTTGGTTTGACCTCATCCTATGTCAGCTAACATTGCCCGTTGATGAAAGCGATGGCTAGGCTAGGCATGCGTAACACATGTCCTAACCATCTCAATCGGTGTAACTTCACAACCTCGTCAATTAATTTCCCCTCCCACCTAATTAGCACTTGACGTTTAACCTCAATATTACTCACCTTATTATACCACTTAACACAGGAGATAGAACGCAGACACCTATGTTGAAAGAAAGCTAGCCTTTTCGTATCTTCGACTTTCAATGGCGACCATATCAGAGCGAACTGCTGAGCGGTAACACAAAGCCCTTTTGGTCAACAGCCAGCCGGATATCACGTCCACTAAATCCAGTTGATGGCGTAAGTTGGCAAGCGTATGCTAAACGAACCTTCTGTATCTGTACTGAGACTTCTTTAGCAATCAACCCCGCTGGCGTTGGCTGATGCAATTTCCCAAATAAGTGAAGTGGTCAACACGCTCCACCACTGTGCTCCTGTCTATCTTTAACTTACGAATCAATGTAGCATCATCTTACTTTTGACAGGAGCAAATCGCATGCTAAACATTCGAAGACTGATGCTTCTCAAGCTGTTCAAAAGACCCTGTATTTTGTCAGCGTCTTCACCTAGGAGCAGGAATATATCATCTGCAAGATTATTCCCTGATGGTAACAAAGTCAATATCGCTGAATCGTTGAAGTCAGTTAGGGTTATAAGACGCGACAACTTAGAACTGTACACAGAAGTAATGAAAAGTTCCATACAAGGCGTTAGTAGTGTACCACTGTTTTTTTTCTGTTATATTTATTTACACAGCTAGATAGAAATACATGTATGTGTACAACGAATAATGTTGTAAAGGATTATTGGCTCGTAATGCATATGTTTGTGTGTGTGAAACCTGTCAACCTTTTATTCTCTGCTGAGCTAAATATATATTTTTTGAAAGAAAACTAAATCGTAGAAAGAAATAAAAATAGATATATATAGATATCTATTCTAATTGTAACTAGGGCAGAGTGGCGGGGGTGGGTAATTCTAAACACATACACGCACACTACCAGTTTTTCATACAGCAAAACAAAAAAATAGTCTAGATGGTGACAGAGTAGATCGAAAAACGAAAAACTGAGCAAATTTTTCACATTCATTCAGTTAGTCAGTTAGTTGTACAGTATAAAGTAAGTAGTAGAGTAATATATATATTGATTACATAAGCATAAGTGCTGGATGTTCTAAGATCTTTTTAAATTCACTAAGCCAAGTAGCACCTACAGCTCCGTCAACAACACGATGATCACAGCATAGAGTAACTGACAAGACATTAGCTTTCTTGAATCTGAAAAGATAAAAGATACAAAAACAAATTGAACAGAAATCCATGAATGAAAAGAAGAAACTTATTCAAAAGGAGAAAAATAAACACACGGGATATAAGTATGAAATTTGGCCACTGTGACTATAGAGCATAACTGCATTATAGATAAGATTTTATTTTGATATATCACACAGTGTTGTTATACAGTAATATTAACTGATGACCACGTTTCGGGCACAAACTATTGCTCACAATCATATCAAGTCACTCAATAAAGCAGGAATTAGGGTGGCATTCAAACCTACAAACTCACTCAGATGGGACAAGCTCTGTAGGCTAAAAGACCCTGTAGGTTGACCCAATTAAACAAAATAATATAATTTACAAAATACCTTGCAATGACTGTGAGTTAAGTCAACTACATAGGTCAAACTAGTAGGTCGGGGGTAGTCAGTCAGATTGTCGGAACATAAGAATTTAGCCAAGGTAAGAATAGTTGACCCTGAGAAGATAAGTAATTTACAAAAAAGCTCAGCGATTGCACTGCATGCATTAACACACACAATCACCCAATAGGGTGGGTGAGACAGAGTCAAAATTCTAAAAAGTAATATAGGTAGATGGAGATAGCGAGAGACTGATTACTGAATCCTGCCTGGTTCATCCAGTCTACACCCAACACATGCATTAGAAGTGAGTCATCATCGCAAATACCAGAGATATGTATGGAAGATATTATTACCAACAGTCAGTCAAATCTGAAGAGGATAATAAATAATCTCAAAATTCTATTTCAATTCACATACATCAATTATAACATTCTAACAAGTTATCTATTTTTACTATAAAAGCACTCGTCTTGTTTCTCATCTGATTGTATTTGATCAATAGCGTTAATATTATTATTTCTGAATGTACATTATCCCATATTGATTTTTATTCGAATGTCTAGTCATCAATTTCACTCATGTATATAAATGAAGGAAAAAAGTTGTGTGAGTGACTTCATATGATTATGAGCGGTAATAGATTGTGCTCGAAACGTCATCAATTAATATTACTGTATAACACCACTGTGTGTGATTTTATCAAAATAAAATTTTATCTGTAATGGAGTTAAACACATAGGAGTTCATTGAAGAGGCTCTTTCCGTGGCGAATTTGATTTTCTTCTCATAAAGCACGATAGAGACGACTTATCATAATCATAGTTTCTAACAATATTATAATCAGTACACGCAATAGAAGTTGAATAAGTGTTCGCGTTACGTGTATTGAGATAAATAATATAATAAATGAGTTGTAATCAGAATGCACGTAGAAACAAGGGACAATACGGCATTACGTAACAGTTAGCAGGGACTAAGAATAAAAATCAGGTTGGTTGGATACAACAGGGATATTACCATGATGATAGTAGAAAAGCGATTAGTGGTCTGACGCGTATCCTGTCTCTAATTATGGTTCAAGAATACTACCTCATATGGGTGTGGAAAGTTAGCAGAGACCCCATTGACAGTGCGATAACTGAATTATATTTCAACAGACTCCCGCTTCAAAGCGAACAGTCAACCTGTCACAGACAATATGCCTTCGCCTACGCCTTTTTTGTACTGACAAAGCTATAGCCATCCAAATGGAGAAAACTGAACTCTACATACAAAAGAGAATTATTCAACCACTTCTACTATCATAGTATTGATCCGATCGCTTTCAAACAGTTTGATTTTTCTTTTTCCCAAACTCTTCCTAACATTATTTCCCTTTGCTTCTATGGGTGTCCTGAATAAAACTGTTCTTCAACTCCTCTTTTGCATTGATTAAAATCAGTAACTATGATTATGACAATTCATCCCTTTTGATGGTATCCTCTCTTGTGAGGAGAAATCAACTTCATAAACAGAGAACACTTCTTGAAATTGTGGAAGACAGAACTCCCGGTGAACATAGAGAAGACGGGGGGGGGGGATAAACATAACCAAACAGCAACAACAACAACAAGCACCAATCACCATCAACTGGAGAAATTTGAAAGAGATCACTTCCTTCACTGACCTAGGCAACATCATTTCAGCTATAAGCGGAGTGGATGGGGATATCAAGGCCAGGTCGGATCGGAGACGCAAGACAGACATTCATCGTCGTAAAATCAGTTTGGAAGTGTGGTGCAGTCATCATAAAGAACGAGATTAGGATTTTTAACATCAATGTTAGGTCAATTATTCTGTGTCAGAAACTTGGCGCGTTTTGTAAAGCATTTCTAATAGACTAATGTGGATTTTTATCGACAGTTGTCTTCATTAGCTCCATACTGAAGATCAGATGGCTGGCTGGGAAGAATTAGCAACAAGAAACTCTTGTAGGCAACGAACCAATCAAGAACCTAATGCTTGACAAGCATGTAGAAGAAAACGGAGATGGATCGTACACACTCTGAGGAGACTGTTCGGTGGAAGAAGTTGGAATTTATTTGTCATTGGAACGCATCCCAGTGGCTGTGAATGGTCTACAAGGTTGCCTTGTGACTGGAGGCTCGTGGATTCGAATCCCGTTGGGTATGTACTGCTGAATGGTCTCAAAACTAGGACAAAAAACAACTATCCAGTACTCCCAGCTGGTGGTTTTCCAATGGTTCTTTTTCTCTAACTAATATACACACTCGTGATCAAACACCTATAACGGCTTCTATTCAAATTAAGAAGAAATTTCTGATATGATATCAAAAAATTTAACAAAATAACAACTTACCCTAAGTGACTATTACTATCCGGTAGCAGAAGACTTCTTGTACTGCCTACTGCAAGAATACACGCTTGTGGCGGATTGATTACAGCACAGAAATTCGATATACCAAACATGCCTAAATTTGATATTGAAAATGTTCCACCCTACAAATATGATGATAATATATTAAAAATAAATAAAGAAAATTTAGATAACGTATTTTTTAAATACAAAAACAAAATATACAATAAAATTCCATGTCTTTAATTGAGAGAAAAAATACGTGGTGTCAGTCATATCATCATCAATGAGTCGAGAGTTCAGTGGTGCCAACATATGTCCGCTTGGTTCGACTCCCAGACAATGCGCACTTCAAAGTCTCATCCAGTTTACCGACCAGTAAGTAGGCTGTAAACTCGGGAAAGAGGGGATGTTGGGGTGTGATACTAGAAACTACCCCTAGCCCGCACTACCGTAAAAAACAGAAGCATCGCTATTGAATCTTTGGAAAGTTTGAAGCCTAATGCACTCCTCAAAATACAATGAATGGAGAAAAATTTACGCATCATTGATATTTATGCGATCAATTTAATGAATGCTGGTTAACTGAATCATGAAAAAAAAACAAGAGGCTAACTCTTCTGATCCATTCACATACACACACATAAACAATAAGCATTCCATTTCATATTAACAATCGTACTAGGCGCTCTTAATATTTGGAGATGTGATTTATTGGAACTCGGTCTTCAATCAGTAGGATCTTGGGTTTTCCAACAGAGATCCACTTACATCCACTTGACCAAGAAACTGAATAGTATATATCGTCAGCTCGCACTTGATGATAATAGTTTGGCAGTACACGAAAGATTTTTTGAGCATGAGTTTGAGTTCAAACAAAAACTGTTAATATAAAAGATGTACGTCGGGAATTACACTGGCCGGTGGCATCATATATAACCCTATAGAACCCCAATAACCTGTTATAGGTTTGAATATTGAAGACAAACACACAAGAGAAGAACCAGGGACAACAAAATTCTGTTCTTAGTTGTCTTAATCAAGAAAACAGATATAGGGAATTTAGAAACATAAGTATACACGAAATTAACACATTGTTATTATTATTGTTCCCTTGGGTTCTGAGTGGAACATAAAGGCTTCAACAACACATCTCCACTTTCTTCTATTTTCTGCCATCCTCTTCAGCTGGCTGTCTCCACGGTTGCCCATAATCTCTCATTTCCTCCCTCCCCACCCCCGAAACGATCTCCTCCATGTCACCCTCGGACAGACGACGACCCACTCGTCGCTCGAGCAATGGCCTGCACTGAGCGCCACATCATTCAACGGTTTCCTCAATGTATGCCCAATCCATCTCCATTTCCTCCTACATATTTGTTGGGCAATCGGCTCTCGCCTGTTGGTTTGCTCCCACCCACAGTTTCTTGTTCCTAATTCTTTCTGGCCATTTGATCTTCAGAGAGGGCAGCTGTTGATGAAAGTCCGCAAACTGTTGGGAGTCCTTTTCGTGACACGCAGTGCAACTTTCTGACCCGCATAGAAGGACCAACTTAACATTGGTGTTGAAAATCCGATTCTTGTTCTTTATACTGAGTGTAGAAGATTTCCAAATTGGTTTCATGTTGACGAAGGCGAATCTTGCCTTTCCAATTCTGACTGGCTTTGTCATCTTCATCTGTTCCCACTGTAGTTGAAACGATGCTGGCTTCCTAGATAAGTGAAGGAGGTAACCTCTGTTAAATCTCTCCCGCTGATGGTGATTGGTGTTGGTCGTTGTTGTTGTTGCTGTTCGTTGGTTATCTTCATCACCTCCATCTTCTCTACGTTCATCTGGAGACCTATCTTCGCTGTCTCCCCTCTTCAGCCAGTTTGTTTGTTTTTGCCTGAGAATCCGAGTTTGTCCGACATTAAACATGAGTAATCCACACGGGAAATCAAGATCTCCTGGAGTCTTCTTATTTGTCAGTGCAGCGTATCCCTATCTTGTCACTCGCCATACACAGTGTGCCGCATAATCCAGTCCATCACAATTAGGAATATCACTGTTGATAATAGGCAGTCTTGTCTTACTCCTGTATGCACTTCGAACGCCTCGCTGAGTTTTTCGTTGTGGATCACCTGACACGTGGCATCACCATATAGCCAGCCAGCTGTTGAATGAGGTTGGTAAAGACTTGAGGTACACCATAGTGTTGAAGTAGTTTCCAAATAATTTCTCCGTCAACGCTATCTGTCGAAGGCCTTTTAGAAGTCGGTGAAGGAAACTGAGGTAGAGGGTTTGGCTGTCATTCTATGCTTTCTTCTATGATGACGATCCGTAGAGTTGCAATTTGATCAGCAAATGATTTGCCTTTCCTGAATCCAGCTTGTTCTGTGCTGGCGGAGTTCTGTATCCAGTGCAACCTTTGTTCTTTCAAGGATGATGCGATGCAGTAGTTTACTTAGCGTGGACAAGAGCATTATTCCCCACCAGTTCTTGAACAGGCCTAACTAGGTCGCCCTTCTTTTGGCAGTTTGACTAGGTAGCCTTTCTTCCAATCGGTAGGTACCTTTCCTTTTTTCCAAACCTTTTGAGATAATGGCATGAACATGCATTTCTGCGGTGATTAACACATACACAGATCAAATACTCAACTATAACAGCGATAATCTAGAGTCACAAAAGCAACTGTGTGCAAACATTGTCTAAAAAAGTTCAAGCACACTCCTCTGTCTACTACTTGAACGCTGACCTAGTCGAGTTGATATCCATGGTTGTCTGTATGCAGTGATACGAGGGAGTACTTAATTAAGTCTTTTGACGGCTGGTTTATTTTCGTGGATGCGAAGAAGAGGAGCGGGGCGTCTATTTTGGCCAATGTAGTGTTTTTCACAGCCGTTGCAACTTATTTTGTAGATTATGCTGGTTTTATCTTCTTTCGCAGTTAAGTCTTTAGGTTGACACAGAGCTGAGTGAAGTGATTTTGCTGGTTTGTGTGCGACATCAATTCCTAAAGATTTGAAGATTCTTGCAGTGATTTTTGAGGCATCCTTTATATATGGTAAGATGATTTTCTTTGTGTTTCCCTTGGCGGCCCTTGGTTTGGTTGGTTGGCTTTGGGGGTAGATGTCTTTTGATGAAGTTTCGTGGATATCCATTCTTTTGGAAGACGTCCGAGATATTTTTCTTCAACTTTCCTAAAGGTAGGAGTGCTGCAATGAGTCCTGACTCTCTTGAATAATGTTTGTATGCGACTCCGTAATCGCTGTGGGTTGATTTTCTGTAAATTTGAGTTTATAATTTCCCTGTCTTGGTAGTATAATAGTAAAACATGAGTCAACGTCCACCTTCAAGTTATCCCACCAACCAAGGTGAGCTACCAATGTGACTTATTGACTTTCAGTTGATGAGTCTCTGAGTCAAATCTCATACCGCCTACTTTAGCTTGTCATAGTAAGTCTGGCACATAGCCGGCCCGTACATGACAAATCTGCTGCGAGTTCTGCTACTGAGTTCTATCTATCTACCTATTTAACCCATCAGCATAGCCTAACAGTGAAACTAGTGCAATGACAATTGAATTCAAACAACAAATGATAAAGAAATTTTAAAATATAAAAAAGATTATTACCTGAAATTCATGAGGTTGTAATTTATTTTGTTTAGCTTTCGCCACCAATGTCTTCATCTCTTTATTGATTTGTACTAAACCCTGAAAATTAATAGTAAAAATAATAGTAATAATATGAGAAGAATAAAAACAGAATCGTACAGACGAAGGTGCATGCTTTCTCACAATCACTCCCTAAAAATAACACTAAAGTGTAGTGAGGATGCTACTTTTTAACGAAACCATAAACGGTTCGGCTACGTTTCCTATATGAAATTGTGGAATTTTAAATAAAAAAACTGGTGGTGAAAAAGGTGAGTACGAATGTCCGGTGTTTACATCGGGACTAATGGATACACTGATCTATCTATGTAAGGCAAATGCAAAACCCTTATTCCAAATCTTTGGTGTGCATGGCGGCTCCAGAATAAGAACGCAGAGAATCACGTATGGACCTGTTTTGGTCAACGACAACCATGGGAAAGCAGAAGAGGGTGGGGAGGGGTAGCCCCTTAAGGCAACCACCTGCTCCGGTCTGGACGTCAGACCTTGCACAAACTATGAGATTTTGTGTGCTTAATCTCTTGGTGCTCAATTATGTACCAAGGTTGGTGTTTTCATAAATAAAAGCAAGTGTTTTAAATTCCTTTTTATGTGTACAAGTTATAGTTTTGTTGCACGTCTTCGTACATTATTGTTATCCCCATGAGTTCCGAGTGGGAAATGGGGCTTCAATAGCACACACCACCATCTTACTCCGTTGTCTGCGGTCATTTTTATCCAGCTCAACAATTGCTTATAAGCTTTTGTTAAATCCTTACACGATCTTTTCCATATCATCCTTATCGTTTCGAATTTGGGTTTGTGCACATAATATGTTGTAGAGCTTTGACTTACCGATCTAAGAGCACTCAACTTTCAACCATTGAATTTCGGGATTTGAATCCCGCCTTCAACCCACAAAGGGTTTGGTAGCCTAGCCAATTAACATCCTTAGGCCTTACGCAATATGTATGGCTGATTGTTTATGCTATGCTAGGTTTCTGTGTTTCACTTGTCTTTAGGCAAAAGGTAGTCCAAGCTAAAGAGGAATAGTACCTAACAGAGGAGTTCATCAAAATAAGCACTCCATCTGGAACCTGTCAGTTGAACGTGTACTTGGATCCCTCCCAGTGAGTTAACAAAGTTTCCACTGAGACTCGAACCCAGTCACTTATCATTTCAAACGCTGAAGCCACTTTTCAGATGACGGCTATCAGTTATAACCATCAACACAGACCAAGCATTATGGTTCAATATATAAATCAATTAACAAGTAATAGAAAAAGCATCTTAAACAAATAAAGTCTTATTCCTAATTGTTTTCTGAATATATTAAAATGTGTATTATAGATAATACACGCTAAGTAACTAAGATTTGTAATTGATTCTGTGAACTGCCTTTGTCTGCCCATGTGACTGATCAGTTCACTTAGAAACTGAGAAAACACGAAATCTAGCTAATTTCTTCAGTATTAAAGTGTTCTGCTTTAGTTTAGTACACTTCCGAGAGTTAAAGAACAAAATGAAATATTTACAGCTATTGTGGAATGAAATGACAAGGTTTATCTGAAAGACTGGAGAGTACGAGTATTTATGTATATTTTCAAGGATTGGTTTGATTGATTGGTTGGAGGATTTCATCATGAGCTGACCCGACCCAATGGCTCATAAAGGTGAGGCAGTAACTCACTCATCAAAGAAGACATTGCGAGGTCTTCGCACTATATCATGAATTGGCAGAAGTTAGAATTTATGGGCCATTAGATCGGGTCCCAATGGCTTAATGGTCTACGAGCTGGCTCGCCTTGTAACCAGAAGGTCCTGAGTTCGAAGCCTGGCTGTGTGGTGGGTGCGTACTGATGAAGAGTCCCAAACTAGGCTGATGAAATAGCTGTCTAGTACTCCCAGTTGGTTTTCCAATGGTTCTCTATCTATGTATATCTTTATGATGTGTCTATAAAACCATATTTTCAAAAGTTGCTAATGAAAATTATAAATATATATATATATATATGTTCTACGGACAGCATACAGTTGTTCAAAAATATTACAAATATCTTATGATGGTACAGCGTAGAAAAAGCCCCTTTATCAGACAAAAGAATAACCTTAATTAATGTGTAGACTGACTGTCAGTATTCACAATTAGACTGGCACGAATGATGCTAAATAATAGAAGATATAAATGAAATGAAAAGTGGCATCATTTTCTATTGTTTCAATTTACACTAGCATGATATGTATGTGATTTTATGTCCATAACCTTGATAGTTTAATGACCAAGCTAGAAATCATTCCTGATATAAGAGTAATGAGGCTGCAGATCACGTGAAGTAGCCTCCAAATTAGTGTTTAACATTATTCTAGGTGTTTGTTATGATGGATTTTCTACGCATAGATTTTCCAAGACCACTGTGTGTTTTTTATTCCTTCACGTTCCCAGTGGAATATAGGGCTTCGAGCCTCTAGCTCGAAGTGTTTATTTTTACAGGATGGGGTTGCTAGCCTCATGCCCAACCTTTCCTCTTCACCAGCATTATTTCTGGCTTAGCGAGGTAAAGGAGTGCGTCAGCCGGGGATCGAACCCTGGACCATGTGCATGATCGGCGAGCGTCCTAACCGCTGTAACACCGACGCACCAGTTTGTTTTAGTAAGCCTAAACAGCAGAAACTGAAGGACGCAACTTTGAACGAAACCTTCACTGCAGCCATAAGATCAAAAGTGAAGACATTACGTAGCATCACTGAGAAGATCTGTATGGAAGAATACTGGAAATTTCTGAAAGTGATGTTTAAGGAAACTTGTATAGTTGTTTTAGAAAGAAAGAAGAGACAAGACAAGGAATGGCTCTCTACGAACACGTGGAAGCTAATAAAGAGAGGAAAAGTGAAACGGAAAATGAACCAAGGCGAACAACAACAGGAGAGGCTGAGTTCAATGTACAACGCGCTGAATAAAGAAGTAAAGAAGAGTGCTACGAAAGACAAAAGACAATTCTACGGCACACTGGCAACTCAGGCAGAACGGGCGGCAGGCAAAGAAAGAGACCTAAGGACATTATATCAGATAACTAGGTTGGTCTCGGGGAAGAGATTCATACAGGCAGTGAAGAGACCCTAATTAAGCGGAAAAGAGCCGAAGAAAACAATGAGCTGATGACTTCAAAGGACTATTGAATCGACCATCATCTGCAACTCGTCCAGAAATACCACCAGTCACACTACTACCAGTGGACACCAGTTCCCCAACAAGTCTTGAATGCAATCAAGCTACTGAAAGCCAGCTGGGAAGGCAGCAGGACCTGAAGGAATTCATTCTGAAGCACTGAAAACAGCTCATGATGAAATCCTCCATACAATCAAACAAAATCCCTACCAAACCAATACTTGAAAATTAATCTGATGCTCACTAGTGACTGGCCCTATTCAGGCAGTTAACCTGGGGTTCTAGTGGGAAGCCGTGACCAGTAGGGTACAGCAGGTTGAAGATGTGACAGTAACTCATCTAAGAAGACATTGCGAAATGGTCACGCTATGTCGTGAATTGGCAGAAGTTAGAATTCAAGGACCATTGGATCGGGTCCCAGTGGCTCAATGGTCTACGAGCTCGCTTTGTAACCAGAAGGTCCTGGGTTCGAATCCCGGTGGGTGCGTACTGCTGAAGAGTCCCAAACTAGGACGAAACAGCTGTCCAGTACTCCCAGGTTTTCCAGTGGTTCTCTAACTGATGTCAGCTCATGATGAAATCCTCCATACAATCAAACAAAATCCCTACCAAACCAATACTTGAAGATCCATAAAATACAACGGATATGCCCACGCCACTATTGTATAACCTTTGGAAGGAAGCAAGGGTACCTAATGACTGGAAGTAAGGCTACTTTGTCAAACTGCCGAAGAAGGGCGACTTAGGCCTCTTCAAGAACTAGAGCGGAATCATGCTCTTGTCCATGACAAGCAAAATATTAGGTCGCGTCATCCTGAAGAGACTAAAAGTTGCTCTACAACAAGATGTATTTAAGAAAACCAAATCTTGTGTGGATCAAATGGCAACCCTACAAATCATAAGATAGTAGTCAAATCACCGAAACTATCGATTTTGAGAGGACCTTCAACAGTGTTAACCACGACGTAATTTGAAAACTATTTCAACACTAGGGAGAGCCCCAAATCTGTATCAACCTCATTCGACAGCTATATGATAATGCCACAACTGAAAACTCAGTCTTTTGAAGTGACGACAGGAGTTAGACAAAGCTACCTACTATCACCAATGTTATCACTGGTTGTGGTAGACTAAATCATGCGCCAGGCAGTGAGGGGGGGGGCGAGAAGACAGTAATATGTGGGACCGATAAGAAGACTCTAGAAGACCTGGACCTGGCTGATAATTTGGGTCTAGTGTTACACAAACTCGAAAATTAACGGATGAAAACCAACAATTTGGCAATAAGAGGCAGGCATCGAAGACAGGACCTCCAATGAGCGTAGAGAAGATAGAGAGAATGGAGATAATCAAACAACAACAACAACAAGCACCAGTCACTACCGCCTTCTACAAGGATAATGGTTTCAGAATGCCAGCACCAATGTCGAGTCAGTTCTTCTATGTGGGTAATAAACTTGGCAAGTGTGTCGCGAAAAGCATTTCCAACAGCTTGCAGACTTTTATCACCAACTGCCTTCGCTGGCTCCATATTGAAGATCAGACGGCAGGCAGGAAAGAATTAGCAGTGAGAAACTCTGGGGAACCAATCAAGAACCTATTGCTCAATAAATATTCTGAAGACAACGGACATGTATCGGACACACGCTGGGGAGACCGTTGAGTGACGCCATGCAACAGGATCTCCCGTGAGATTCTAATGAGAAATGACAAAGTGGACATAGGTCCTTGGGTGACATGAAGGAAATCGTGTAAGAAGGAGATGGGGGCATAAGGGCAACTATAGAGGCTGCTGAAGAGGACTGCAAGGAACAGGACAAAATGTCAGTGTACTGTTGAAGCCCTATGTTCCACTCGGAACCCTAGGGTTAATAATGTAATAAATAGCAGATGAATATTACTTAGAAGTGATGCTTATTCCATTTTTTCCGCATTTGAGGCTTGTGCGCTGATACTATTACACTAAAAGTAGTCATAAAAGCTTCTTATTTAAACAACCTTGCTCAATATCTACTGAAAATAAACTCCCTATAAAATAGACAATCCCTAGCATCTTAAAAGATATATGTGTATAATTTACACTGTAAAAAAGATTACCTTCTTTTCAGCAGAAAATACTATCGGTGTGATAAGTCCAGAAGGAACAGCTACAGCGACACTCACATCAACAGTATGATACCTGCAGAAGAAAGAAGAATGTCAACTCAACTAACAAACTGAAGTCAGATGAAAGCCTATAGCAACATTTAAGTAAAATTCGACACTAACTTTTACTCTTAACATCATTTTGAGACATGCATAGATGAGAAGTGTATACAATGCATATGTGAGTGATAATGTCTAGCTAAATGAAATCAATTGTAAGAAAGATATGAATTTTTCGCCGTAAACCCGTGTACAGTTTTCTATCAGGAGTCAGCAAATCGTTTTCGTCTAATGGTGCGTCGGTGGCACAGTGGTTAGGACTCTCGCCGACCATACACATGGTCCGGGGTTCGATCCCCTGCCGGCGCACACCCGATATCTATGGTCGGCCTGAATTTGGGCTACCGATATCCATGCTGAAAATTCCACACTTGTACTGAAAATACGGTGTGGAATCAAGCTGTAAATCAAAATAAAAAAAAATAAAAAAAAATAAATCCTTCCAAATGTCAGACTGTTAATTTCAGTTTCCGATGTAAAAGAAAGTTAAATGAAGCTGTTAATTCCCATGACCATTGTAAAATTGATGATAGTGATATAGGAATCAAGTCTGAAGTTAAGTATCTTGGATTAATTCTTTCTTCTGACCTATCCTGGTCTTCTCATGTCTTAGCGATTTGTAAAAGAATATTTCGTCTGACTTTTTACAATAAGAAGTTAAGGCACTCAGACATAACTCAACCAACACCTCCTCTTACAGTTTGTCAGCTCGTGCATCTTACCTATTCTTCTTTACTGTTCACCCCTGCTTATTCTCTCCTGGATTTCTTAAAAATGACTACGGCATACTTCGTAGAATTCTGAGGGCTGTCAGTCAGAAGGGCGAGTGGTATTCCATTGGGGCATATCGTTGACACTGTCATTGATGGGCACTTGATTCCATGCAAAAAGTTGGCTAAAGGGATTTTGTCAAACTGTGAGCATCCACAGCAGCACCCGCAGCTTCCACCTCGCATCTCCTCAGGTAGAACAAGAAGCCATTTCAAAAGACTTTGTGCATGCATGTCCAAGTATAGACATTCCACAATACCATATTTGGCACGTATTTTAGGTGATGAAAATAGTATCAGGCACGAACTAACTAAACATTCCACCAGTAAATAAACACTTTTCTCTATCCTTATACCATCAAGCTTAACTGTTGTCATATTTAATATTTATAATCCTCTCATTTTTTTTGTTTTTCTCATAAGCGTAGACATCATTTACGCTCTGTAATAACTATTATTTTCTGGTTTTCCCCTCACCTAGGTCTGTCAAGAGAACATTAGATTTAGTACTCTATAACATGTTGAAATTTCCATGCTGTATCGACAGTATTGTTCGAAACAAACCCACTGTTGCCATTATTATTATAGTTATTATTCCCATTTTATACTTTGAACATTTTTGACTTTATTCTGACTGGAAATGTGGACAAGTTCCTATGATTAATTTTATTTATATTTCGAGTAAATTGAATGCAATGTTATGACAAATACTGAGAATTGCATGTTGTCTTATAAGTACTGTTTTTTGGAATAATGCAGATTATTATCATCATCAATACACAGTCCTGTAATCAATGTAAAATAAAATTCAGGTGTTTCAAACATTTTCCTCCCAAGTTATGGAACTTCATTTATCAGTCTACCACATTGTGCCTTGTGATGATACATATTCGTAGTGAGTTAGCATCTCTTGGAGCACAAGCACGCGTTATAGGACGTCAAAGTTACTTACATCGTGTTACCGCTAAATGTGTACAATCCTCGAGATGGTGATGACCATCCACACACTATCACCAGAAGCCCTCAAGCTTAGAGAAGTTGAGTTTCACAAGGATAGAGTAGGACTGCAATCGCAAGAGCAGAGCACGCCCACAGTGTAATTAACGGACTAACACTAAGATTATAGGTTTCCAGGCCGTAGGTGTTACGAACTTCCTGAAATAATTTGAGCGCCGAGTCAGACTGATTCATTATAAATTATTTAAATTAATCCCAGCGTGTTAAGAAAATCAAAACAAGATTTTTCTCAACGTGATAAATCTGCTGAAGAAGCTGTGGCTTACACAGCGAAACGTTCAGAAAAATCTTGTTTTGATTTACTTAACACGCTGGGATTAATTTAAATAATTTATAATGCAACACTAAGATTGTTTACTTTTATTGGACACTAGTAACTAGTGTGATGTGTCTAGTCCTTTTTTAGTGCAGACTGAATTCTATCAGTCAGGTTTGCAATGTCGCCACCATTCTATTGTTGATGTTAAATGGTTGGAGGTTATTCGAGCCCGAATAGCTCAGTGGTAACGTCTCTGACTGCAGCAATGGGTGGTGCGAATTCGAGTCTCAGAAGGGATATGAGTTACTTCAAGGTTGCAGATTCGCCTTGCTGACTGGTGATTGTCAACTAGCTTATACTTCTTTTGATACTCTATTTTTCTCCCTTCTCTCTACCTCTGTGTGCCACATGGAGTATGGCGACTTGAACTGTTGTATTTCTACACAGAGGTTTGTGTTTAAACTCAATCGCATTTCAGCTATCAGTCTGTCAGAAGCAAAACAGCTCTTTAACTGGGTCAGTTGGTCAGAGATATAACAGTCAGTGGTTGTAGCTAACAGATGAACGCGTGAATAATTACTAATATCAATTAGTGAGACAAAACTAAATACTAATAATACAGTGGTGAAGAAAGAATATGACTACTTTAACGCATGTTGTATAAATTAAAGAAAAATTATACAAGGGACAAGGACTTGATTGATTTCAAGTTGGAGAACCGTGGGGAAACCAAGCAGTACTGAACAGAACAATCAGTCCAGGTCGCAATCTGAAAATTAATTCGCCAATCACACTGTGAGTTGAATGATTTCAGTTTTCAAACTGTAGTGAAATTTTACCTTGAACTATGCAAACATCTTTTGGTTTTGCACATCCACCCACCCATCCCTTGACGTTCCAAGTGGAACACAGGGTTTCAAGCAGTGTTGGTGTTGTTTTCCCTCAGTGGGGCTGATATCCGCACGCCCAATCTTCCCTCTTTACCAGACTTGCTACCAGCTAGGCGGGGTTAAGGGGTGAATCGACTGGCAATTGAATCTGCATTATGGGCATCAAGTAAACAGAAACATTCATATGGTATAACCAAATGTAAACACACAACTTACTGTCTGATAAATTCCCCCTGCCAGGATGAATTACATTCAGGCACTTTTAAACATGTTAACGATGCTGCTTTGATGATAATATCATTTAAGCTTATTTTTGGTATAGGTTCTTCAGTTTTTGTGTCTGCAAGCTTTGCTAAATCTGTATTGATTTTAGAGCGTATTTCTAAAACTCCATCTAACTGAATATCCATTGTCAAATAATAATGTGGGATAGTACGTTTTGATTCTGTCAGTCGTTTAGCAATTACCTAGAAGAAAACAAAAGATAATTTTAAAAAATACTTTTGAATACGTATCAGTATATACATATGTGTGTGCAAGGACGTTTCTAATTTGAATGACTTAAAAACGTAGTTTTTATAAGAATAATTTACATCAACACTTTATCCCAGTCTACTAATTACCTCAGACATCGAGGTTGTACAAGGGGATTTAAGAAACCTTGATTCCAAATCTTTGGTATACATGAGGTCCAGAATCCGGAAGAAAGCGATGCCACATAAACCTCGTTTTGGTCCCCAGAAGCCATTAGACAATGCTGCTCTGTCACCATCTGCTAGATCAACTTCAAATACATTAATCGATAGGAAAAGCCGCCGTCTATGATAAGTAGTTTGGAAAAGATACTTATTTTACAGCTATGATACGTAGATAATTGTATGTATGTTCAAATGTGACGTTGTACAGAATAGTAGATTGTTACTAGTTATAAGAAAGTGTCATTACATTAGCCCTGCTTACTTTGCAAAGTACAGTATAGTTAGTTTAGTGCACACGTCAGGTTCTTACTTTACTTTACTTCGGTTATCTCCTACGGGAGGATAAGCCGGCTTCATGAACATCTCGAATATAGAGTTCATGAAGTTTCATGGGAATTTGGTACGAGTAATGTCCCCAGAATCGCTCGGCCTTTTGTTTGAGAGTGCAGCTCTAGCCTTTACACAGCCAAGTGTGACCTGCAAGGCAATAGGAGTGGAGTAGGGAGTCCACTATCCATTGGCAGCCGGTGACCGGAGTTCGGTTCATACGCCTTTCTGAATGGGGCCAGACATCCAGGACATCCAACAAGCCCTTTGTCCATACGTCTGCCGGTGAGCTCCAGTGAGCTTCATACGCCAGTCGTTGGAGGTTTGGAATCAGGGTTTAGCCATCTCCCCTAGACTGTCATCCAATGGACAGTCAACCCGGTGAAGAGCGCCGGGCATCCGCTTTCGCCCTCTCACTTTGGTGAAAAACACCGCCACGTGAAGGCAGTGAGTAGAACTTCCTCAGGAGAGGCTATGTAAGACGCCCGGTCATATGGGAGCATTTCAAGAGGTGTGCGGAGGGATGGCCAACCCGCAGCGCAAGGCACCCACCCCCGACCATCCTGAGGCTTTGGAGGCTATTAATTGACTATTTAACTTGAAGAAAACAGTATTTCTGTGCATGGAAATTTCTTATTACCTTCAATAATTAACTTACAAAGTTGGTGAGTTTTTATACCAAGGATGATTTTGTCACGAGTTGATTTCAACTGAACGCAAAGGAACACACATAAAAAGTTTATCTGGAGTCCTCAAGACTCTTAGAAACAATGATTGGAGACTATTAGTGACATGCCTCAACATCATTCACAAAGGTGTAGATACATACATTCTGTATACATTAAATTCTCATTCTTGCTCCTCTCGTCTACTATAGTTCCTTTGCATTTTGTTTCTCTACTATGGTGTAATTGATGAAATGTGGCAACTTGAACCATTAAAATTTTGTGGATAGTTCTAAACTGAAAACTTAGCCAATCAGCTATTCAGTTTAAGAGTGTATAGCGAGGCGGAAATAAGTCGAGTACAATCAGTCAAATCAAGAGGTGAACAAGATCCTACTTAACCACTAAGTAAAGACCTAGATACCTATTGTCCCCATGGTGCTGAATTCACTTAACACAAAATCAATATACTTCCATGCTAATTATCGTGATTCAGCAAATAATGCCCCAAAAAGGAGGCTTATTTTTTTAAGTATATAGGACAACCGAAATGCAGTAGATATCAGTGTAAGCAAGAAAATATTGTGAAACTAAGTACTTAAAAATCATAGTTTACTGTTTTTACTTGAGTATTCATTCACCTTTAAGTAGGTTAAATACAATGGACTAGCTAGTTTAAGTATATTTTCGTGATGACACACAAAGAGGTTTGAAACTGCATAGACACACTTGATTACATCATAATCACCAGTGTCCAACTTTGTATTGCCGGAAAAAAGTTTATACTTACCGATCGCATGTTACTGATACTGATATCTTCAAACTTTCCGACTGCTACATCAAGACCAGTCGTCCCTGCAGTAGTTGCGACAGCAGCACGTGCCGTACCCAAGTCTGTTGAGCGTATCATTCCGTACATCCCAGTACCAGTAACTCCTGACAGATCAAGCCCCTTTTCCGCAGCCAAGAGACGAGCATAAGGGGAAGCAATCACTCCTCCAGACTTTGATATTATCGGAGTGGAAACGGAAGAAGTAGGCGTCGCAGGTTGTTGTGGAGCGACACTTGGAGGTGGGGTCGGAGTTGGAGGCTTTGCAGCTTCAGTTGTTTTTGGGGTAGAAGCTTGTTCCTAAAAAATTTTAAAGCACAACTGCAACAATTATGAATTAAGAGGTTTACAAAGTATGCTGAGGCATTCCTGCAGAATTTCACATTAGAATACGACACCGGAAATATTAAAATACAAAAATAAACAATGCAGGGAATAGTTCTGATTTTACAGACATCTCAATAATTTAAAATACGGTCTGATTCCTCAGTCTATAAGTGTAAAGTGCTGTCATTAGAGACCTGTTTTAAATATCTTAGATCAAACAAGAACCAGGCCACATTGTTTTAGTTTAACTACCACTAGTTCTTTTTTTAAATGATAGCGTATTACAGGTGGCAGTGGGCTGGTATGCGTCACGCATGTTTCAGCTATTACGAATCCATCAATCGGTCTCTTTCTTAGGCCAATTTAACAAATATCTGGTCTACGTCCCTTACACGACCGACTCGTGCACTCTATTCGTGGAAAGACATTCTCAACAACTCTGCACAGATGTAATAGGACATTCTGCATATGTCAGAGAGTATGCGAGAATTTTGAAGCTATTGCTATCATCATTTTATAGTTCACATCATGTGTAACCATATGGTGTGTAACGCTGACACAAAGTAAATTATTACGCAAATCAATTAAGTTCTCCATTTGAATCGAATAACTCGGTTTGTATGTGTTACAGACATTAAACTACTACTGGTTACGACGAACACATGTGGTTTATACTCACTGTTCAACTAAAACTTGTGATTAAATGTAAAAAGTATGAAAATACATCAATTATTCTACAGACTTCCCAATACTAAGTCCAAAGTTCAGATAAAAATCTAGGAGAATAGTTGTGATGAAAAATAACAAAGTTTTGCGAGGACTACGACGGCAGCTAACTTCTTATGACACACCAAACAAAATATTCTAAGAGATATCTCTTAAGACTAGGCTTCGGCTTTCCTTACACAATCTCACAATCAACAATGCTTTGTGTGGACAGAATATACACAAAACCAGGGGTCGAATAACAAATCAACAAAAAGGTAACTGATGGTACACAATCTTGGGGTCTTCAAAATCAACATAAGACATCTACGCTGTCGTACACCAAGTGTTTGTGCTTCACAATATGTTTAGATAGTATGATTGTCATTTTCTTTGGTTTCACCATCGCTAGACATTTCTGAATGCTCGCTGTGACAGCAAACAGTTCAGCGTGAACAAATAGAAGATTTGCAAATATCTTTCCATTACCTCACAAGGGTGTAAGCTCTTCTTCAACTACGACTAGCAACGTCTTTGACAATATTTCCCCGAATGACTCGCTGTTTATCTAATTTCCAATTCTAGCAAGAACAAGGTTCGAGAAAAACGGTGAAGCCAAAGTTCAGACACTAAGTTAAGGTGGATTTTCAAATTGGGTATTCCAATAGTAAGTGTCATGGCTGTCTCAACATGTTTTGACACCTCTGTGTACACCAAAGACTTACATTTTTACTTACCGAAGGCTTAGATACATAATCCTTGAAGGCTGCAACAGAACCTGCATCCGGAACTATGATACAAAGAGCCTAAAAGACTGAAAATTACTGACTTCACACATACTGTCCCGACAGGTATATCCTTGCTCCCCGCAGGAGACAAAATCTTTGCTAAATATCCTGATTCGTTGGCATCGAATGACATAGTTGCTTTGTCTGTCTCAATTTCCGCAAGTAAGTCTCCCTCTGTAACCTGCAGAATATACGAGAAACGAGAAAACATACCTCATCACCTTCGTTCTTTGCCCAGCTTATCACTGTCCCCGTCTCCATAGTAGGAGACAAATTTGGTAATCTGACGACAACATGAGAGGGGTAGGCTACATTTCAATGGAATAAAATGAGCACTTACACATAAATCGTTTGAAAGACAAGAAAGGCCTGTCATGATTCACCAAGAGATTCGACCTATTTTTGAGACGTTACTAATTTGAGTCAGTTGTTACCTATTTACAGCTGTGCTATAGGTTGCAACTGGTGTGAATTGTCGTGTCCCACTTAGGAATCGAACTTTTAGCCGGTAGAACGAACGCAGCCTTGAGACAGGCTGATAACCCCGAAAAAACATCCCCTACCGACGGAAATTTAAAATGTGTGTCCACGTCCTAACGATCAAGCATATTCGGCAGTATATGCAGTAAAACACCTGAAAGTGTTATGAAAGTCCACTAAAATGTCCATATACCAAAGTTTGGAATGTTATATTTGTGGAAGAACGCTTTTGCCTGATAGCCTGGAGTTTTTTAGCATATCCTCAGCATAAAACCACTCATCTATTAATGAAATACTAATATGGATTAGAGATCTGCTTTTACAAGGGGGCATATCGGGGAAGAGACACTCACTATTAATTGGAGTATAACGCATGAAAGTTTGGGTAATGATGCATCAAATTTTCTATTTAGAATAAAGTCATTACAACAATTCACCTAGATGACTATATTCGCATATTAGATGAGGAGGGAGACACACTTATTTGTTTTCAGGACTCACACTGAACGAAATAAGCATACGAGATGGGATGAAGATCTATAAAATATTCCCAGCAACACTTTTCGCCTGACTGGTACACGAATACATCATCTAACAAAGTCTTATTCAGGGCAATCTAATGAGAATGTATAAACTCAGCACGGCATTCTAGTTCTCCCTGAATTCATCATTTGAATCTTTCAGCATTACAGCAGCATCTACTTCGAGTCTGAACTACAACCAGGTGCAAATTTTCGGCACCACCAAAGGCATCGGTGTAGATTATGCATGATGCACAAATTTCTAAAGGCAAACAATTCGCAGGTGTATTGCATGAAAATATATACGCCGCCGATGCTGAAATCCTTTTATGCAAAGTTATGTCTTGATGTTCGAGCACTGTGAGGGAGCTCTGTTTATTCTTGCTTGAAGGTCTTGCTTCCTTTAAGGAGACAAAAAAGAAGTCACCATTTCGCTTGGTGTATGGGAGGAAGCCACGACTAACGATACACAAAATGACCCGGCCCTTTCACAAAGAGTGGAGCATGACGAGATTGTGAACAGAGAGAGACGGTCAGGAATATAACGCATAAACAGAAGATGGAGGCCATGAAATGTGAACAGACGGAAGAGATGGAATGCATCAACTTTGCAGCTGGAGACCAAGTAAAGTGTAGAGAAAGGAAGTATGCGGTTGGATGCGACCAAGGTTTACGGAACACCTCCCCCGCAAAGTTGGAAGGATCATACACTGCCACCTATATACGCCAACTGAATGGGAGACAGAAATGTGTTGAAGTGAGCCAGATCTAGAGGTGGATACGGTGGGACAAGCTAGCCGATAACAAGACGTAATGACAGTGGGTGGCACACAGCGTGTGTTACTTAGAAGGCTTATCAACAGTATTTTGACGCAGATTGATAAGAAGTAGTCAGAATTGAGAACAGTTATGGACAAGTTGTCAGTTAAATTACATAAATTTGGTCTATGGTAAACTTATGTGGTTGCCGTTCTTTTGACCTTTAAGTTCTACCTGGGCCTCTAACTTCCGTTTCTGTATCTCGCTCTATTCCTCCTTTTACCTTTCCCTCTCTTGCCTTTTTATTCTTGCTGCTTTTTGACTGATGTCAAGGACTTCATGAGTGTCAGAGCTTTCGACCCCAGTGCTGAATGTTTTCTGAGCGGCTGCACAAGCCCCCCTCCTGAAAGCACGGGCGATTACATGGCATATATCTTTCTTGAAGCGGCATCATCTTCATTCGGTGGACATTCGCGCGTTTGAATAGATAGACCAAGTATACCACCATGATTTCGCGAAACTTCTGCAATACACGCTTAACTTTCGAACTTACTAAATCCTTTAATCCATTACATTGCGCAAATGTCAGTATCAAGCCAGATTTTCCGGTAAAAGTGCAGGAAATGTAGCGCAGTTCAAGAATATAATGCCACCAATAGTATATGCTCCAAAGACAATTTTTTAATGAAAATCACATTTAAAAAGCAAGCAAAATAACCAAAACCTGGCAATAATTCACGGAATCATTGACAGCATGTTGGAACAAATGTTAAGCTTATAACTCGAAATCGTCAGTGGCACAGATGCATTCACTCTATGTGATCTATCATGTCCATCCAACCATTACTTTTATGCCGGTTACTTTTCTCCCTCGCACATTTCTGCTGATTATAGTCCCGCCTGATTTACATTTTCCTCTCTTTCTTCAACCGTTGTGTGCCACATAGAATGTGGCAACTTGAACTATCACATTTCTGTGCTAAGCTATACTTTGAAGCGCATTCAGTCAGTATTTGTCGTTGCATCTGCTTGGCGTCACACCTCATTGTAGTACTAATTAGCTTAAACTCTTATTAATGCCCTTCCCTAAGTAGTATGTGCATTTTCTCCATTCCTTAAGTCGATCAGATAAAGTGCACGGACGAAAAAATGGTGAACCATAAGTCAGTAACACGGACGTAAGAAGCAGTAGGAATTGAATTGAGTGAGATGAGCAAGTGGCTTTTGAGATGAAAGTTTTCTTTATCCCTGCAGTACGTTTACCTTAAATACTTATCTTATGCATTACAAGCTGTCTCCTGTTTATTTCATTTTCGTCTTTCTTATTGTCAGTTATCAGTCTTCATAGGCATTCCATAATATGTCTCCATACACAGTGTCTGCAAGCAGCCCTTCAATTCGCCTACTCCCCAAAAAGTTGTTGGTATGATGCCTTGAAATTATTTACACTGGACTGCAATACAGTCACTACGCTTATATTGCTGATGCAAAAAAATGTGAGACCTGTAGATGTTGTTGTGAAGTATGCCTGTAATAACACTGCCTACACAATAAATACAGTGCTTGCGACAACGATATGCCCTGTCAACACAATGAAAGTAATTCCACCAATTGCCGATACTTCTGATTGTTACGAGGTGCTGCTCGTGCTCTATGAGATACTTTTACTGCATCTCAAATGGACTGAACTTTTCCCGCCTACTCAAGGGCATTGGATAGATAAGGCATTTGAAAGTCATTTCCGTCCATATTAGTCGGCCATGTTGGATTACTGTATGCTAAGCGCTAGTTCACACACTGGTTTTTGCGCTTATCTTACAGTTATTCACGGTTTACCTTGATGGAGATCATTCACAAACGTTGCATTTCACATCGTTTTGGCTTACATCGCAGTTAAAATTATTTATCTCCTCACCAGGTTAGTTCATTTTTCACTGTAATTGTTTCACACGTTGCCTTTATGTGTGGTTACAGTGTTTTACCTATTCTCCAGCTGTTAACGAAATAACACCATGTGCAAGGTTTTGGAAACCATTTATACGAGTGTGTTTCAGTGGCAGAAGCTGTCGTTCCCAGTCCATTTTTTGGTTGCCTCTATTGCTGATGGTTCAAATGTTTCCTTAATATGTAGAAGTCCGGAATAAACAATTTCTTTCACGTTGGTGTTTATAGCATGCAGCAGTTTATGAGTCAATCTGGTGAAGAGATCACGATCAGAGTTGATATTGGCATGGTTTTCGAAGAACATAATAAACCTGGGGAATTAAGAACCTGGGTTGAAGTTGAAAAAGCCTTGAAGTTCCTCAAAAAGTTGAGTATGACATAAATGTCCCTTATGTCAGATTTCAAATGCCCATTTTGTTGTGATAGAACCCAAATTAAACGAGGATGAACCACATTTGAAGTATGAATGTGTTGTGATTGAATGCATTTTGGGGGACAAAAAGGAAAAAGAAGGCAACCCGAAACCTCTAAAGAATTAGTGTTATATATGGTGGTTAATGCCGAATGTACTAGATCCAAAAACATGAATGGAATTATCTAAGCGATGTTAACAGGCATTCGATGTATGTAGGGGACTGTCTAGTTAGCTGAATAACATAACAAGTATGTAAACAAAAATCCAAGTTAGTGAGATGACAGTGTAAGAGTATATTATAAAAAGTACAGCCTTGAGTTATATTAAATAAACGGCTACTCGGATACTCAGTTTAAGCCCACGGCTAAAAATTAATAATATAATCCACGGAAGCGTTCACTGCTGCAGTCGTGTCTGCTGACAGGAGCTGTGTACCGGTTGTGGAATAGTCTTCGGATGAGGATCAGAGGTTCCTGCGAAACTCCAAAGTATACAACACGGTTATGAGTGAAGCAAGTAGACAGCATAGACCAGCGGGAAGACGAAACGACCAACGGTACACTGTATTTTAGAGGGTGAGGATATAGGCTATGACGTGTTAAATTTTCCGCGCCTCATGTTTTCTCGTCTTTCATTGGCTGTAACAGTGGCGGCTAATTTGATATTTAATTTGTCCTTGTTAAGTAATATCGTTTGCAGGTTTGTGTGGTTGAGGTATGCGTTATTTGCCAGCAAATTTGATGAAAATAAATGTAAAATTTGAGTATTCTAACGTTTTCTTTTACTTATTTTGCGCATGTACAAGACTTGGTTTATCATACACTCGGTTTGTTGGCCTATCGGTTGCTGGAGATGTCAAGGAACCCGTGAGTTCTTTGGCTTTTCTCGATTTTAGGTTATACGTGTAGCATTTTATTGATGGATATTGGTCAGTGATGTATTTCAATATAGCTTTTTCTGCGGAATTATATTTAAACAGTTGCGAGACAGATGGATACTAATTGACAACGCCTTTGTAGTTTTTTTCAGGTAGGCGATGCGAGTGAGAGCACTGCAGAGAAGTAATACTGAGAAGGCGTTTCTTTAGCTGGGAGGAATTTGAGAATTCAATAATAGAATTTCAAAAGGTGAGGAATTCATTTAATGCTAACAATGTAGTTGTCCTGCACTCACTATGTGCATATTCAAAGCAAAATAACAGGGGACGACAGATTTAAGTACGCTTACGTTGCTTTTAAATGCACTTTTGGCGTGAGCAGGAGTCGATGATTGCTCGGTCGCATTGCTTAAAGTATTCATGTTCCAAACGTCTAATACCAATTTTACGCCTACTGACGCCAGACGCCGCAAGGAAAATGATGGCTGATTATGAAAAGCAACGATGGATTTCTTTTCAGTTTGAAGCTTTTGATTATATCTTCTTGGAAGACAATGGGAGGCAAGTAGAGGTGGATCTGCGTGCATGCAAATGCACTTGAATGACGTTCCAGACTTGTCGGTATCCCTGCAGACA